TGCTGCTGCTGCTGCTGCTGCTGCTGGTGGTGGTGGTGTAAAAGAATATATCTGTTTTAACCCGCGGTCTCATTTAGAAATCATATTTTATTAGGTTGTTGATTCTGTTTTAATTTTTAAGTAATGCAAAGACGTTCGACTTGCATAATTCTGCATTGCCAGTAGAGGGTGCTGCATGATTTATCTGATAATGTAATTAACATTAAGTTTAATTTCATTAGGGACAGTTTGGATAAAACAACATGTAGTTTGTGTAGCAAATGTAATGTAGTATTTTACTATTTATTTTAATGTGTTAAATAATTAAATAGACACTTTGTCACCAAATTGAATGACAGTGGATTTCTTTTCACTGTCATCGTTGCTGTGCATATATCAGCTGTGGTAGTTGACTGGGAGCCGCTGTGTTTCTCTGATCTCAGTCGATCCTGCAGCGAACTGACAGAACAGTCTGTGATAGTCACATGTAAGGAGTGGTCTGTGTGTGTGCGTGCGTGTGTGTGTGTATGTATCTCCCATGTTGTTACAGTGACCTCTACTGCTTGCATTGCCACCCACTTTATCTGTGCTGCACACAGTGCACCACAGCTGTGGTGTTTAACCCAGAAGCCCACTCTCCTCCTGGAACATCCCAGTGTCCAATTCCTGTACAAAAATAATGCAGAATCACTGCTTTTCAGTGATAAGAATTGAGCCACAAAAAAAAACATTCACACATCACATTGTATTTGACATTTTACTACAGGATATTAACATAAATACAAAAAAACAAGAAAAACTCCCAGCATTATTTCAATTTAAAACATTGGCTATAACCTGACTGAGGTATCAGTTGTTACTGAAAAGATGTTTTCACCCCTTCTTTCTTACAAACATACAATAATAGAATAGAATAGAAATGCATGGCATAGTGCCTAGCAGTAACTGAGGACAAACAGAACGGTGGGATGATAAGACTTCCCAGAAGTCCTTTACACGTTTGTTAAAATTGGATAAACGTCTGATAAATAAATGATGACGTCTATGACTCCTATTGTCACACTGTGGGCTCCTACTATGTCTCGAGGATTTGTATTGTTGATGCATGCGATAAAACACATCAAGAGAAACAGTGTCAACTTAATATTAAAATAAGTCAACTCCACCCCAGGCAGTGAGAGTCTCAGTGGGAGACTTGGTGGAGAGGTTCAACGTGAATATAAATGAAATGAAGTCTGAAAAGATGATTCTGCTGTGGCCTCGCCCTGAACTGTTTACCTCCCCCTGTTCCGTCCCCCCTCTCTCTCCCTCCCCCCTTTCTCTCTCTCTCTCTCTTTCTCTCTCTCTCTCTCCCTCTCTCTCTCTCTTACAAACACTTGCAGGTCATCTTATCCTAGAATCTGAACAACTTATTTTTTGGGGGCAACTAGTAGATGAAGAGTGCAGGGTTGTTGATTACTCTGGTGCTCAGCAGTCAAGTGTCTGTGTGTGTGTGTGTGTGTGTGTTTGTGTGTGCTTCAAAAAGTGTGTGTAGCAAGGCAGGTTAAAGTGAGGGGTAGCCAGCTCAATTTTTTTTTCTTGACTTCTTTTTGGCTGCAGGAGACATCAAGTGTAAAATTGCACTCTCTTAAACACACTTCATCAAACCAATGAGGTTCCTCTCTCTCTCTCTCTCTCTCCCTCTCTCTCTCTTCCTCACACACATCCACAGTGCACTGTTCTCAATGATACTTTGACTCAAATCCAAGTCCAAACAGTTCTACGCATGTGAACTACTACTGTTGCTGTTACTTTGTGAGTACTCTGTACTAGAGGTACTCTAAACACTAAATACTGCTGCAGTGATTTGATTAAACATATAAAGCAGGTGAATTTTATTCATTTGGCATCATAAGAAAAACCCGTAGTTTGGTCATGAACCAGAACCTTTTCGCGTAGATTCATGAACCTCCTGAGAGTGTACAGGAAACATGAGTGCCAACGTTTTTACTGAACTTTCATAATAGGATAGAATCGTTTTAAGTGAATTAAATCTGGACTTGTTTCTACAAATACATAAAAAAAGACTAAATCGTTGATGCTTGACTCGTGGCAGCCATGATTCAGATCAGTCTCCTACCAACAGATCTGACACGTCATGAAGAGGAGCGTCAGTTAACATGGACTGTTTGAGAGCAGAGACAATAAAACAGTCAATTAAACATTCAGTGAAATAATACACTGTATGTATTTATGTTATCTTTCAAGTGATAATAACAGTTAAAGACATGTTTTGACCAGAGGATTTTATTGGTTTGATTCGTTACTGGAGACCTTTTTAATGACCTTTGACCTTTGTTTAACTTTGTCTTCTTTATTTTCTTCCAGCAACAACGGCGTCTTGACCTGCTAACCATCACCAACCCAGGTAAGAACACAACCGCACATTAGTACATCAGGTCAAAACCAAAATCTACAACCACACGACCTGTGATTTCATTGGGCTGCTTGAGTTAAATGTCAAGATGACGTCACCTTTGAGCTTTTTTTACCAGAATGACATGGGACTCATAAATTATTTTGCAGTCACAAAATGTCATAAGAGTTGGTGCGTGGCCCCAAGCACAGTTTCAGGGAGTGTGTGTTCACCTGCTCACGGTTGTGTGTGTGTGTGTTGATACTCACGTATCACAAATGTATAGCAAATTTGAAAGCCTTAGCGCCTCCTGCTGCTGTCTCTGGGTTTGCACTACAGGTAACGACCACTGTTGGTAGTATTGCCTTGACACCTCACATGAGTTAACCTGGTTAGTCAAAGTGGTGCTAACTCCACCCAGCTAGGTAGCATGGGTCCCTGTAGTGTGTTTTTCAACCTTGGGGTAGCGACCCCACATGGGGTTACCTGAAATTTAAATTGGGTCGGTAGAAATGTCTAGTTATTAAAACAAAAAAGTATTGCTGAAGCCACTGAAACACATTCAGTGTGTTTGAGAGGCAGCGTGTGAGAGTGAGGATTCTGTCAAGATGAAGAGCAAGGAGCAAACTGGAATAAACTGGGGAGGAGAAACAGATGGGAATGGCAAGAAGGATACACAGGCCCATATGTCTACAGTATCTGGATGATCTAATAGGCTCTGATTAGAGTAAAGCATGTGTGAGACTCATGGAGACTGGTTTAATTTAGCAAGTTTACTCTGCAGCTGTTGCACAGGCCCCTGGCAGAGGAAGGAGTTGCCCCCTGGCCGTCACATTTTCAAGAAGGCGAAAGTAAGAAAGAGATGTGAGAGGAACTGTGTCAAGGAGTCTGGCTGTTTTTGGCAAGATGAGGCTTCCTTTTCATTTCAATGAGTTTCTCTTTTAGAGCTGACTTTATTTAACTCGGTTTTAATTTGCTCACTTGCTTGTTGTTCCTTTGTTACCCTGGGCTACGAGCTACTTTCACATCCTTCTCTCTTACCCTCCAAACTTTCACCAACATTTGTCTAACTTTGAAATCCACTTAAGTTCATTTAACTCGCCTGTTATTATTGGTTTTTCCGCCCACCTCCTTGTAATGAAGATAGCTGTGAAAGTTGTGATTGTCACAGAGGGAGAAGACTTTAATATGGTGAGATTATTTCTTACTGAAATATTTCTGGAAGAATCTGTGCAGATCTGTAGTACAGGTGAGTATATTCTCAAGATGTTTTTTGTCCTGCTCTGATTGGTTAACACAGAGAATAGACATACACCAGCAGCAGCAGCAGGACACTGTGAACATGTTGGGGTTTTTGGTGAAGATGTAGGAACAGAAGGTGAATAATTCTGATAGGTAAACAGACAGGACCTGTCCTCCACACACAGTTAACAGGTTGCTGCTCACGCGCTCCCTCTGTCCTCATCATCCTTCAGCCTACACCGACTCTGTCGTGTCTGTCTGTGCTCTACAATGCATTATATACTGCAATTTCTTCGCAATTTCACTCCATCACGTCGCTTTGTCCTCCCATCTTTGCTCCTTTGTGTTTCTCTCTCTCTCGCTCTCTTTGTTGTCTTTTCTTTATAGCACGAACAGCAGGGGAAGAATCACAGGGTGTGAATAAACTAATAGGGTCTGGTTTCTCCATAATGTGGTGCCAGTGTGTGTGTGTGTGTGTGTGTGTGTGAGAGAGAGAGAGAGAGAGAGGAGGAAACTGACCCTGACGCTCTGTTAGCTTCAGTTTTAATAGCATCTGTTAGCTCTACTGAATAATGATGCTGTAAATTCATACATACTTAGTATTGGGTGTAATTACTACAGTAATACTACATGCAGCAGAATATACTGCAGACTCTACTATAAGTTAATGTACAGGTATTTGTTCCTGAGCCAGGTGTGTTGGTGCAACATTATTGTTTTATCAGTGATATATTTAACTTCAGGACCATTTAAACATATGTTCACTGTAGTTGACGAATGACTGATACATCCCAGTGAATAATGGATAATTACTGTTTACAGGCCAAGGATTTCTTACTCCATCTATACTGAGCACTAATTGAACTAACGTTGAGCCGTAGTCCTCCAACAGTGACGTGATAAAACTGTAATTAAGCTTCCTTTTTTACAATGCTATAAATATAACACATTCTGAAATGATATTCTAACCCCACATGAGTGGTTCCCAAAGAGGCATGGAGCACAACAATGCTAATAAATTGAATTTTAAGTCACTTGGAACACCATGTTGGACGAGAATGTCAGTTTTGTAAGAATTACAATGTTTTTAATGAAATTCAGTGAAGGTTTCGATCAATGGCTGTGACTCCATGGACACAGGCTTGACCAGGGTTCTGTCTGCGTGAGGGTGCACTGAAGAAAATAGTTTGGAACCATAGAATGATTGTATCTCAGCTTGATGAAAGATTTTAAAACTCTGCATTTCTGTGTCTCTTTTCAACTAGCTAAACATTTCCGCATTTCCCAAAAATAAAAAAAATAAAAGCAGGGGCAACAACGACACTGTTTGATGTCCCACCATATTCCTCCTGTGACTCCCACAGAAAATGACTGTGGTTTATTTTTAGTAAATTCTTACATATTCAAATGTATACAGTACTGTGTCTAATGTATGCACTCTCTCTCTCTCTCTCTCACACACACACACACACACACATGCATGGCTACTCACTCTCACTCGCGGCCCTACTCAAACCTCACTCGTCCTTCCTTAATTGGACACTTGAACAGCACACGGTTGCATCTGGCTGCTGTTGAACACAAACTGACATTTCAGACTGCTGACCTTTCCAGCCCCACCACCACTAAATAATGATTAGTCCTGGCAACTGCTCCTCCACAACAACAGCCAGGTACACACACACACACACACACACACACACACACACGGAGCAAACAACCATACCATAGCACAACAAATACACCTGCATGAAGGGTTAGTCATTCTGCAGTGAGAAAATGGGGTGCAGACATTGATTTAAGAAGCCATTGTCATTCTTTTGGCTTATCGATTAGACTGTCCTTTTCCATATCTGCAGTCAGCACCCAGTAACATATTGTACTAAATTACCTCTGCTTGCCTCTGTTTAGTTTCTCCTTTCCCCTTTACGTGCTCTCGGCATTACAGTAGGAGAAAGGTCAATCATATTCATGAGATCTGGGCAGATGTGACGGAATGGTAGTGCGCGTGAGTTGTGCTCGCGCTTGGTGTGTGCACACGTTCGGCCGCCTGGTGCACGCGTTTGCATCTGAAGCACAGAATCGGCGTGGAGTTAAAAGGACGTTCTCAGATCTCTGCTCACACCCCCGTTACTGCTCTCTTTATATCTTTGTTTCTCTGCAGTTTCTGTCAGAGCAGAATTTAAATGTTCTTCGTTAAAGTCTCCTTCCACTGCTCCACTGTTTCCTGCTCTGCTCAGGCTAAACCTGCATCTAGAGTAGTCTTTATTGACATTGTAACACGGGGGTACAATGAAATTGAAATTGTGGCCAGTTGTCAGTGGTCAGAACTTTTTTTAAGACCTGCTGCTTGTGTTAACCCACTCCTGTACACCTTTATTTCTCATTCCTGTGAAAGCTTAATTAAAACACTTAGCATAAAAAGACCCTGTATGTACATACTGTACAGCAGTCATCATCAACTGGCGGCACGCAGGCCAAATCCGGCCCACCGAATCATCCAGTTTTGCCCATGACAAGATTCCAAAATAAACATCACAAAAAAATATATATTTTATTTTATTGTATTTGAATATCTGGCCTCAGGATGTCCAGAACAATACTGACCCTCCAACAAATATATAATAGTTGGTGACCCCTGCTGTATATGATGACAGTAGTCTATGTCATGGCTGAACAGTAGGGATTATCTTATTGTACTTCTTATTCAATTGAGTACCTAAATAATTTCCAAGTTAACCTTGAGTTTTATAGTCCCTGTGTCATTCATTCATCTTCAACCACTTACCTGTGTCAAGGGTTGTACATGGAGCTTGATCCAATTACAGCTGACATTGGGCCAAAGATGTTGTAGAGCCCAGACAGGGCACCAGTCCATCACTGTGAACCCCCCCACCCACCCATGGTCACAGATCAACAGTGGTTCCGAGCTGCTCTCATATGATTCAGAAGGACAATTTATGGAGTTTTTTTTCCAGTTAGTCTTGATCTAGTTTACTAGTTCTTCATTTCAAATTGTGAATATAGTTTAACTACTTTAACATCCATTCGTTTCTACTGTGCCATGACAGTGATTCTCACACTGGGACATTTTTGTGCCAACAGCATATCTGCTGCAATGGGCTGCCCCCTGGAGGCACCAAGTATGTGGTTCCTCTGGGGCTCAAACACAGGACGTTCTGCGTGTAAGGCAGATGTGTAAGCAGGTGTGACAACCGTACACTATAGAATCACACCATTAGCCATATGTTGGCATAAGATCATTAGCTTATCTAACATCATCTGTACATTGAAGTAGCACTACAGCTGAGACTGAAATACAAGACAAAAACACACTATCCACATGCAGACCTTACTAAAAATATGTAACTGACTAATATTTAACTATATACATTTTTCCACAGAGTTGGTGGATGTTAGTCATTCCATTGTAACTGTGGTTGGTAGAACGTGCCGAGAGTTTATTTCAAAACTGCTGAAGCCGTTGTCCTCAACAATATTCGTCAGTCTGTAGTCCCTCACAATCTGTTTGACAGTTGTGTCAGTCAGTTCGTCAGTCGTTGTACTAATTACTGCCCTGGTCTGACGTGTCAGACCAGAAGTCGTAGCCTCCTCTGGATGAGGTGGTATTTCCTTCTTCACTGTGTGTGTATTAGAGCAACGATAAGTGTATGGACTGTGGTATTATTGGATATACAGTGTGCATTATTCTACCCATGCAGTAAAATGTATTCGGAATTATGACTAGAATTAGCTTTGCAAATTAGTAC